GGGGGATAGTAGAGGATAGAAAAGGCAGCAGAATACAACAGACACTAGTATGGCAATATGTAAATCAGTGGATATGTAACCGATGTGATTCTGCAATCTGTATATGGGTAAAAATGGGAGTTCATAACCCACTTGAATCAAAATGTGAAATATGATAAATCAAGAACTGTATAATGTTTTGAACAACCAACAATAAAAATTTTTTTAAAAAGAATATGAAAGTAAATCAATGAATATTTGAACAGAAGTAGCAACTGGATTTTTCATTTGTTTATGTTTTAGCATTTACTTTGCAGAAAAGCAAAAGAAAAATTAAATTTAAAAAACTTAAATTCAACAACCTCAGTGAGATACTAATCAAAAGGGCTTGATTCACTGGTGCCCTAGAGCTGTCTTGTATAGCCTTCTTAGAGTCAGTTGTTAAATAGAAACTTTCTGAGCCCAAGTCAGCAGTCATAGTAATATTTGCAACACAAGAACCAGCAAACATTTTATACTCACTGAGATGCTTTACCAATATACCTCCACTTATAATCTACGAATCTAAGAAATCACTCATAATGAAGCAACCTTGTAAATGTTTATAATGGGGAGGTGAAACCAGAGATGAAAGAACATATTTACACTACACAATAAGAAAGCATTTCTGGTAATGAAGTTGTTTGAAATGAAGAATGGAGAAAAGGCACAGTATCAACAGTGTGGAGACTACACTATAGAATTAAAAAAAAAAAAAACTGATGGTAAATGGACTAACAAATACTGGGAATGACTATGACCTAAATGTCTTGGGTCATGATTCTTCATAAATTCTCAGAATAACAAGTAACTAGGAGATATGCAAATATTTGCAGAGCAATGGGTTGAAAAAGATCTCAAAAGTCATCTCAGAACCCTGTAAAGCACTGATTTGAATCCCATCCTCACACTCACTCCGAGAATGTGAATTTCTGAAGATAGAAAATGTGTGTTCTTTATGTCTGTGTGCCCAGAGAATAATACAGTGTTGGGTGCATTAATATGTTGTAGTTGCTGATGAATGAA